GTTTACTTACAGATCAGCTTGTGTGTGTAAATACAAGAAGCAATTAACAGGGTACATTGTGACAATGAGGGAAATATTAGCTTCCTTTTTGAAGGCGGACGACACACAACTAGCCAGCAGCTAGTTAGCTTAGCATTGAGAGAGGGGGATAAGTCCAGTGTTTTTATACATCTGAATCATTAAGCACTTTACATTAGTGATGAATGAATAATGTTTAACTTTGATTCAACTATTTGCTTCTGATGATTATATCTGAAATATTCTATTAACGGTGCTTGAATAGTTTGTATTGTGGCATCGAAAGAGCTATTATACACATTTAGAAGTAAAAGAAGAAGAAACACGCATCACATTAAGATAATGTATTTAATTGTATCTATTAAACTTACAGACCTTCATGACGAGAAATATATAAAAGAATACAAACTTCCACTGCAGAAGTGTTGACCTGGAGAACACACACACACACACACACACACACACACACACACACACACACACACACACAGGCATCTGAAGTGTGGTTCTTGTCCTGACTCGCGTTTAAAGGAATTCACCCCCCCCCCCCTTAATTCCACCCTGCTGTGGATTAAAGAGGAATTCTGCCATTTTTCAGCCTGTATTTCCTCCAGTCAGGCAGGACAACGACGCGCTGGAGGCGACGCTACAGAAGAGTCGCTAACAGGGACGTTTCTTCTGTATTCAGGGCGGATGCGACCGTTGACCCTTTTGCTTGTATGCTGTATTATATGGATATCATATTGTATATAAATACCTATATCTATGATTCTTGAGTAAGTAACTAATATTGTAAGATGTACCCTTCAGTTAGTTGTGAATATATAAATATCTATATTTATTGGTCATATTTACTATTATGCATTTACTATTATATACATATATTTATATCATATACAAAATTAGTTATACTATATATGAAATATAATAGATAAATATACATATATGTGTATTATATATAATGACAAAATACATAGATATTTATGTATACAATTATTATTATAATTGTATATTATTCTTGATTATTATTATTGTTATTATAGAATTGTCCTGGAGGAGGTAAATTAATAAATGTTTAACTGGACAAACAAACTGGGTTGTGTTTATGTTTTGACAGCAGGTTTGATAAACACACAAACAAAGTGGATCCACACCAGCAGGTTTCATTCATTGTGTGACAGCGACGTTGATTAACTGACAGCCATCTTTGTCCCCGTGGAGGAGGAGGAAGAGGAGGAAGAGGAGGCACTGAAGTGGAAGGACGAGTCTCTGCAGGCTGGAGACACAACGCAGAGTGACTGACCTCAATACGGAGGACTGTGATTGTGTGTCAGAGGATCCTCTGTTGAGGTCTTATTGTACCACGATGTCGTCTGAGTGATTACGACCAAAAGATGATTCATTTCTCAATAAAGCAGAATGTTGATTTACTTTACACGATTAAATCAAATGTTGTGTTTACGTTGTTTATTCATTGAAATAACCAGAAAATCAGATGCCGATCCTCCAGAGACCAGTCCACCGTGGACAGACCCAGATCCACCAGAGACCGGTCCACCGTGGACAGACCTAGATCCTCCAGAGACCGGTCCACCGTGGACAGACCCAGATCCTCCAGAGACCGGTCCACCGTGGACAGACACAGATCCTAAAGAGACCGGTCCACCATGGACAGACCCAGATCCACCAGAGACCGGTCCACCGTGGACAGACCTAGATCCTCCAGAGACCGGTCCACCGTGGACAGACCCAGATCCTCCAGAGACCGGTCCACCGTGGACAGACCCAGATCCACCAGAGACCGGTCCACCGTGGACAGACCCAGATCCACCAGAGACCGGTCCACCGTGGACAGACCCAGATCCACCAGAGACCGGTCCACCGTGGACAGACCCAGATCCTCCAGAGACCGGTCCACCGTGGACAGACCCAGATCCACCAGAGACCGGTCCACCGTGGACAGACCTAGATCCTCCAGAGACCGGTCCACCGTGGACAGACACAGATCCTAAAGAGACCGGTCCACCGTGGACAGACCCAGATCCTCCAGAGACCGGTCCACCGTGGACAGACCCAGATCCACCAGAGACCGGTCCACCGTGGACAGACCCAGATCCTCCAGAGACCAGTCCACCGTGGACAGACCCAGATCCTCCAGAGACCAGTCCACCGTGGACAGACCCAGATCCTCCAGAGACCAGTCCACCGTGGACAGACACAGATCCTCCAGAGACCAGTCCACCGTGGACAGACCAAGATCCTCCAGAGACCGGTCCACCGTGGACAGACCTAGATCCTCCAGAGACCGGTCCACCGTGGACAGACCCAGAGAAAGGTTCTCTAGAAGAGACACCACCACTGATCTACTTCATCTTCATCGTTCCTCATCCTCCCACCAGGCGTTTGTCATCGTCAGCTCACACCTGAACAGAAGAGGTCTTTCTTCATCACACCTTCGTCATCCTCCTCATCCTCCTCCTCCTGATCCCAATCACAATTATGTCCTATGAGACATCCGAAGAAGAGTCAGTGTGTGTTTGTGATGCAGCTGGAGGCTCATTTCAAAGATTACTGTCAAATGCTTTCAATGCATTAAAGCGCACACACACACACACACACACACACACACACACACACACACACACACCAAAATCCCAGCATGCATATGTCAGCGGCTGCATTATGTGTCAACAGAGGGAGAGAGACGGAGCCCGGGGGTTTGTAAACATCCCACTCAACTGATCTGTGACTCATCTCACACACACACACACACACACACACACACACACACACACACACAAATACACACTCACACACCTACACACAAAGACATACACACTCACACGCCTACACACACACACACTGAATGTATTCAACCATATCAGAATTCTCTGCATGTATGAAATGACTCTGTGCATATGTGTGCGTGTGCGTGTGTGTGTATGTGTGATTCAGTACGAAGCATAGGATGTGTTCAGCGGCTACACACAGACACACACACACACACACACACACACACACACACACACACACACACACACAGACAGATGAATGCAGTTGCATTCGATAATTCATCTGGTAAACAGGAAGTAGTTCTCTCTCTCATCAAGGTTCTGTGAGGAGACGCACCGGCTGAGGAGTAGGTGAGCGAATCAAACCAACCCCAAATCTCAGAGGTGACGGAGCCTTTGGTCTTTTTGATTAAAGTATTACAATACTAAGTATTTCCACCTGGGAGTCTGTGGCAACTTCCGTGGAAAAAATATATTATTAAAAAAAACATTATAGTTTTTTTTCCATGAAATACATATTTCATTGTTTAAAAAAAAGATGATATTTTAAATCACCCTGGAATGAAACTTAATGATTAGGTAAAAGTACTAATACCACAATGTTTTACTTAGTGAAACTATAAATTGATGATTTATTTAATGGTACATTGTATAGTAATATATCTGTTACAGGATATATTTTTTACAGGTTGATGATGATACTTTTACTTCAGTGAAGGACATCGGTACCTTTTGCTAAGTGACGGATGTTCTGAACGTCTCCTTCACTTGTGAGAAGCTTTGTTTGATCTTCAAACCACATTCAAGGACGACGTGACGCAGAGAAAATAATCTCTTCTTTTTCTTCTGCCCAATCTCTTCATATAACAGCGATAAAAGACGAAATAAAAAAGTTGGTTAGAAAGAAGTCACACACAGTATTATTGTGTTATTTAAGTATTTTCATAACACACTCAGTCACTCTTTATCATTCTTTTCCTTTTACGTCTATAATCCCCAAAAATTGTAAATACATCTCATTATCACAAAGTGCTTATTAACCGGCACGAATGTGAGCAAGATACAAAATAAATTCAGTTTATTGTTGCGGAAAATAACAACAAAAAGGAAAGAGCGGCAAATACTCACATTTGAGAAGTTGTGAATCTTTTGTGACCAAAACAATTAATTGTATTAAATAGGCCATTTGTGCTTCATTCATTTACTTATATATTGTTTGTATCAATTATTGTCCTTACTTACTAATATATTATTAATATAATTTACTTTATTTTATAGTATGATTTATTTTCTCTATTATTTAATTTCTTACTTTTTCAAAAACAAAAACAGCCCAAACCTTGACCTCCGACCCCACAGCGTCCCTCCTGCTAACCCCGCCCCTCTGCAGCGAGAGAACGGGAGCCCCATTCAAACAAACCAAACTCCGCGCCCCGGGATGCGACAGTCGCTGTAGTAAGAGAGAAAGGCGGCAGCAGCAGCAGCAGAAGAAGAAGAAACCACTAACACACACTTTACCCGAGGAATCGCACCACTGGGACCCGTCAGACACACGCACAGAGACGCAGACGGACACACACACACACTGAGCGCTAGCAGGAGGCTAACAGCTAACAGCAACCGACATGGCGAGCGCCTCGTACCACATCTCCAACCTGCTGGAGAAGATGACTTCCAGCGACAAGGACTTCAGGTAACGACGAAAACCGGGGAAAACGAGGCAACCGCCCGGCCGCCGCTGTGAGCCCGGGCTGTGCTTCATCTTCTTCCTCCTCCACGCTCGGGTCAGCCGGGCCTTAGTGCTGTCATGCTAACTGCTAGCCTGCCACCTGTCTGATCATCGTCACGTCGCTAGCTGGGTAGCTAGCTAGTAAGCCAGTTAGCCAGCGGTGTTCGTTAGCGTTCGATAGCAAAGCGGTTCAAACACCACAGCGTTAAATGTCTGGTTAGCTCGCTGGTTAGCTGCACGTCGACTCGCTCTCCACTATTCTCTTAGGCAGCTGAACTGCAGGTAAATGGCACCAGTTAGCAGTTAGCTTGGCTGTTTTCCTGCAAGCTAACTAACTTTAAAAATGTTTTTAATGTATTCTTTTGTTGAAGACTTTAACTGTATTCTTATTGTATTGTGTACTACGATTATTTAAAACGTATTATAATGATACCGTTAATTATTTGCCATCTTTGTTTGTTGTTCGGCTAGCTTACTAACTTCTGTCATGCCGCAAGCTAGCGTGAGGTGTGCTAATCGTGTTGTGTCTATCGGTATTCTCGGCGCTGCGTCTCAATTGGCGCTGTGGATTTAAACGAGATGTTAGCATCGCGGCTAACTGGTGCACGTCAGTCTGGCAGAGGATGCTGGTGTTGTACAGGGTCTGCTAACGTGATGCCCCTGTGGGTGTGTTCGCATGATGTGTGTGTGTTAGCATCGCTTGCACAGGTGATGACAACATGTAAACCGGCTGGAGCAGATCTGCAGTGGTGGAGGTTATTGACGAAAGGATATTTTTAATATGGGTGAATCTTCTGATGCTTTGGTTTTGTTAAAATAGTGAGACTTTGTCTCGAATATTACACATCAGCATAATAGCATCTGGAGCGGTCAGATGTCATCAAGACAGAAGAGCATAATATGGCACAGGGACTTATTGATGGATGCACTAACTAACTGTTGAAGCTGTATAAACTTGTTTGAACTTTTTAAGCAAAAAGTCCCCATTTCAATCTTCTGGATATTTGCGTGGTTCCTATTGAAGAGAAGATTAAATAAAATGTTATTGATCTTCAGAGTTTAAACGGTCGAGGACAGAAAGAAGTAAAGTAAACGGTGAAGTAAAACGAACCCTAAGTTGTGTTTATACAAGTAGAAAACAATGGAAGTCAAATTAGAAACCGTATAAGAGAAGAAGGGTTAGAAGTAAACGGTGTTGATTGTTAGTGTTTGCTGCTTTTTCTTTTTCTTTGTTGAAACTGAATAAAAACACTTAGTTATATTGTAAAAGTGTTTTTAAAGTTCACAAACACTTTATTGACCAAAATATTAACAATAATTAAGAACAAATTTACAAGCTTATTGATCATGACTGTAAGAATAATTTTATTGTAATAACAGATCAATACATCACATTAGTTTATGATAATTGTACCATAAATTATTTCTTTTCACTAGATTCAACTTTTTACATGTTAATTAATATGAATTGAATAAAATATACATTTCAAATTGGATTTGGGAAGCCAGAGATCAATATTTTGCTCTGTTTGGATGCAAAATGGATCAATAAATTCCATCAATCAGCTGTTTAATAATAATAAACATTCAAAACAGATAAAGGCAGTCAGACTAAGACAACAAATGTTTATTTATAGTATTGTGAAATGATTCAAACTCCCCGACGGTGTCACATGACGGGGAGAATCCTGCTGTGTTGGTGTCTTGTTATTGAACCGTAAATATTGATTTCAAGTGGTTTAATCTGCAATCTGATCAGCTGATGTTACAACAGCGTTAACTTTAAACCGTCTGAACCACAGCTCGTTGCTTTTATTGTGAAAGTCTCCACGTTGAAAAGCTGTTCCTGTTCCAATCTGAACTAGTTTTCTTGAACAATGATGCTGATTTTTACTAATTTAACTTTTGCTCAGAAGATCTCAAGCCGTTTAACATCTACAACTAAATAGCATCTTGTTAGTAAATGGCATCAAAAAGAAATGAAAGTAGGTCGTTTACGTTTTAACAACTCCTCATCACTCGTCTCGCTGCAGCGAACCCGTGAAATCGTCGGACTCGTCAGCGTTATCGCTGTCTGCAGAAGAAGAGTCTGATCTGAGATCTGTAGCGCCGCCGCAGCGAACAGATGAATTCTCACGCAGACGCCGTCCCAACGAGGGTACAAACATCAGACGTGTGTTTGCTCCCGTCTGTCTCTGGGGACTTGATTTTTCCATGAAATATGAAAGTCCTCCATCTCCATGGAAACGGAACAATCGGAACTAGAAGTCAAACGGGTCTTAAGTGCAGAATAACAACAGTCAAAATAAAAGCTCTCTGTGTTTTCGATATTAAAGTATTCCCATATTTCCAGCCTCTCCTCTGCGTTCACCTGCTGACGTTCATTCAGTCTGATTCACGGTTACATGACTGTTGTTCTCAGATGAGTCAACGATGCCGTCATGGTTCCACTGAGGAGCTCACAATTGGTTTTAAACGAAAGCGGTTTATTGGTGGAGAGACTTTAAATGAGACAAGTGGAATAAAATGAACTGGTGCAAAGGGCTTTTACATCCCGACCAAACGGGTTGTTCCTTTATTGCTCTGTTGTTTCTAATGAATCGAGTTGTTCTTCCAAAGAGCGGCTTGTACGTTGAGTGCGAGCGAGCTTTGACTTGAGGACGAGCTCCTTACTTCTCTGTGTTCCTCTGCAGGTTCATGGCCACTAACGACCTGATGACGGAGCTGCAGAAAGATTCCATCAAACTGGACGACGACAGCGAGAGGAAGGTCCGTCTGCTCGGTTTAACGCATCCGCTTTCCCCTCGATCAAACCCGGTATTGATCGTTTGATGTGTTGATTGACAGGTGGTGAGGATGATCCTCAAACTGCTGGAGGACAAGAACGGAGAAGTGCAGAATCTGGCTGTCAAATGGTAGAAACCGTTGCTCTTTTAGACTTACTGCGAGTTTGCGGGTGTTGTTTTTAATCGGCGGGTGCGTTCGATTTGCTCAGCCTAGGGCCCCTGGTCAGTAAGGTGAAGGAGTACCAGGTGGAGACGATCGTGGACACTTTGTGCACCAACATGCTGTCGGACAAAGAGCAGCTGAGAGACATTTCCTCCATCGGCCTGAAGACCGTGATCGGAGAGTTACCGCCTGCTTCTAGTGGTACAAATACACACATACCACTGCTCCTTTAAGGAAAACACTACAAATACTACTCCTACTGGTTAAGTTGTGTATTCTTTGTTGTATTGACGTTGCATATGCGAGCATTCCATTGACAACCACAATAATACAATATTACTTGTGCGTCTACCACAGTATCCTTGGTCGTTGTACTTTAAAGTATAAGTACTCTGTGTGTCTTAGGCTCCGCCCTCGCTGCCAGCGTCTGTAAGAAGATAACCGGGCGCCTGACGAGCGCCATCGCCAAACAGGAAGACGTGTCGGTCCAGCTGGAGGCGCTCGACATCATGGCCGACATGCTGTGCAGGTACACTTCCTGTCTGTGTGGAAGTCAGCATTGGACGCTGGCTGTTCCCAAGGGAATTACCCACAAGTCATTGCAATGTGGCGCGAAAAACAACACCATCCAAAAAGCCGAGTTAATCCGCCTCTCTCTCCCTCTGCAGGCAGGGGGGGCTGCTGGTGAACTTCCATCCCTCCATCCTCGGCTGTCTGCTCCCTCAGCTCACCTCCCCCAGACTGGCGGTCAGAAAGGTACTCCGCCTCCATAAGTAGATGTAGACACGTTATTGCGTCACGGCGCTCCCGGGGCTCATCATGGGACTGTTTCCAGAGGACCATCATGGCTCTGGGCCACCTGGTCATGTCCTGTGGGAACCTGGTCTTCATCGACCTCATCGAGCACCTTCTGGCGGAGCTCGGCCGGAACGACAACATGTCGACCACCAGGACGTACATCCAGTGCACGGCCGCCATCAGCCGGCAGGCGGGGCACCGGATCGGTGAGAATGTTCCCCTTTGTGTACAGCTCAGTATTCCATTGGTAAACACAACAATCGGAGTATCTTTGCTACTTCAAAGTACTACTCCCAGAAGCAGGAGGGGGAACGTTTTTGACTTCCCGTCCTGCCTGTGTGTTTTTCCCCAGGAGAGTATCTGGAGAAGATTATTCCCCTGGTGGTAAAGTTCTGCAACGTTGACGACGACGAGCTGCGGGAGTACTGCATCCAGGCCTTCGAGTCCTTCGTCAGGAGGTAACGCACACAGTAATACCGCTGCACTGCCTCTACGGCTGTTGACGCTCTTGTATTTTAACCACGCGGTTCACCGCAGGTGTCCTAAAGAAGTTTACCCCCACGTCCCCACGGTCATCTCCATCTGCCTGCGCTACCTGACCTACGACCCCAACTACAACTTTGACGACGAAGACGAGGACGACAACGCCATGGACGCCGAGCAGAACGACGAAGACTACCAAGGTACGCCCTCCTGTACAGACGCAGGTAGAAAAGCGCCCTGGAGTCTGTGGTGAGCGTCCTCTGTGTCTCCGTGTCCAGGCAGCGACGACGAGTACAGCGACGACGACGACATGAGCTGGAAGGTCCGCCGGGCGGCCGCCAAGTGCTTGGACGCCGTCGTCTCCACGCGCCATGAGATGCTGCCGGAGTTCTACCGCTCCGTCTCCCCGGCGCTCGTCTGTCGCTTCAAGGTACCGTCGGGTCCTCCGAGGCTCCGCCTCCCGCCTCGTCGCCGAGCTCTGAGCCGCCGCTTTTAAGTGCAGCAGTTAGAATAAAAAAGAGAATAAGTGCTGTCTTTATTTTTAACAATTGATCAGACTAAACCCATCATGTGTGATAGCGCCTCCCCCCCCTCCCCCCCCCCCATCTTATCTACTGACATGTGATTCGCGCTCCTCAGGAGCGGGAGGAGAACGTGAAGGCGGATGTTTTCCACGCCTACCTGTCGCTGCTCAAGCAGACCAGACCGGCTCAGAGCTGGCTAAGCGACCCGGATGCGATGGAGCAGGGAGACACGCCGCTGACTATGCTGCAGAGCCAGGTGACGCAGCGAGAACCGGTACCACTTACACCTGCTCCGCCGTCCTCTCCGTCCCTCACGCTCCGTCATTTTGCCTCCGCCTGCAGGTGCCCATGATCGTCAAGGCTCTCCACAAGCAGCTGAAGGAGAAAAGTGTCAAAACCCGCCAGTGTTGTTTCAACATGTTGACGGAGCTGGTGAACGTGTTACCGGGAGCCCTGACGACCCACATCCCAGTACTAATACCAGGTAGTACTAATGCCAGGTAGTACTAATGCCAGGTAGTACTAATGCCAGGTAGTACTAATGCCAGGTAGTACTGATGCCTGATCAGGACGGTACTGATGAGGACGGCGGCGATGCATGTATACATACTGACTCCGTATAATACGGTTTAGATGCTAATTGGCTGAGACTTGAGACCGGTAGTACTCATCTGTGGTAGTACTCATCTGTGGTAGTACTCATCTGTGGTAGTGTATTGATGCAGTATTTGGCTTGCAGGTATCATCTTCTCTCTGAACGACAAGTCGAGCAGCTCCAACCTGAAGATCGACGCCTTGTCCTGCCTCCACGTCATCATGGTCACGCACCCCGCCCACGCCTTCCACGCCCACGTCCCCGCCCTCGTCCCGCCCGTGGTGGCTTGCGTGGGAGACCCCTTCTACAAGATCACCTCCGAGGCCCTGCTCGTCACACAGCAGCTCGTCAAGGTGGGAATCGAACCGCAACCTGCGTGCGGCGGCTTCTTTGACCCCTCTGTCCCAGGTGACGTCCTACCGTTTTCTTTCCCTCCCTCCAGGTGATCCGACCTCTGGACAACCTGTCGGAGGCCTCTGACGGCTTCGACCCCTCCCCCTACATCAGCGACCTGTTCACCTGCACCATCAAACGCCTGAAGGCCGCCGACATCGACCAGGAGGTCAAAGAGCGCGCCATCTCCTGCATGGGCCAGATCATCTGTAACCTAGGTAACCGCCGCCCGCTGGTCGCAGCGGTGCAGCTTCCTGTTGTGTGGTTGTGTCCGACCGCGTCTCACCTTCCCGTGTGGTTGTCAAGGCGACCGTCTGCCGGCTGAACTTCCGGGAACGCTGCTGATCTTCCTGGAGCGCCTCAAGAACGAGATCACCCGGCTGACCACGGTGAAAGGTAAGCCCCGCCCCCTCCTGCGCCTCGCGCAGATTCATCCGCATTCCCTGTTTTATGAAGAAAATATCAGCGAGTCCAAAGGGAGCAATGTGTCGCTGATGGTGCACAAGGACCATTGAAACCATCAGATCAGATTCTTAATAATAATGAAAACACAAACTCTCCTTTTCTAACTGATTTCACATGTAAACCGCCGTCTCCAAGTGGTTCTTACTAAACGAAGCGTCCCGAGTATCCCAGCATGCATTTCAGCAGCACTGGTGGAGGATTAAAGCTTTTCCTGGTGTCTCTCGCATCATTTGACTTTAGAACAAATTCTAAACAAAGTCATTTTGTTGGCTTCCTGTTCTGCAGCTCTCACGCTGATCGCCGGCTCTCCGCTGAAAATCGACCTGAGGCCGGTTCTCCCCGACGCCGTTCCCATCCTCGCCTCCTTCCTCCGCAAGAACCAGCGCGCCCTGAAGCTCTGCACGCTGGCTGCTCTGGACATCCTGCTCAGGAACTACAGGTACACACGCAGCCGGCTGCTCCGCCCACTGCCCCTCCACTTCCTGTCTGTAACGCCGCCCGTGGCTCCTCAGCTCGGCGGTGACTCCCGTCATGGTGGACGCCGTGCTGGCCGAGCTGCCGCCCCTCATCTCGGAGAGCGACATGCACGTGTCCCAGATGGCGCTGAGCTTCCTGTCCACGCTGGCGGTGACCCACCCGTCCTCGCTGGGGCAGCTGAGCGGAGGCAGCATCCTGCAGCAGCTCATCGCGCTGGTTCGATCCCCGCTGCTGCAGGGCGGAGCGCTCGCCGCCATGCTGGACTTCTACCAGGTACATGGTGCTTTCATCCACGGCGAATAATACACAAATACCCCGTATACACACACGGAGATGAGCAGGGAACACAGAATACACATTTAAAACAAATGATTAAAATATTGGTAAATATACATAAACATGTATGTGCCAAACGTTGCTCCCGTCCAGGCTCTGGTTGCCACGGAGACGTCCGGGCTGGGCTACATGGACCTGCTGAGGATGCTGACCGGTCCCGTCTACTCCCAGAGTGCCGCTCTGCCTCACAAACAGGCCTACTGCTCCATCGCCAAGTGCGTGGCGGCTCTGACCAGAGCGTGTCCCGACGAGGGGCCCGCCGTGGTGGGGCAGTTCATCCAGGTGAGCCCCCCCTCCCCCCGGTGGACATCCCTCTGACCCGAGATGGATCCATAGTGCATTGACAACTTGACGCACAAATCTTTGTACAGAATAAAAGGTTAGTGCTTCTCTTCCTCCTCAGGACGTGAAGAACAGCCGCTCCACAGACTCCATCCGACTGCTCGCTCTGCTCTCATTGGGCGAGGTGGGACACCACGTGGACCTGAGCAGCCAACCGGAGCTCAAGACGGTCATCCTGGACGCGTTCTCGTCCTCCAGTGAAGAGGTAGCGCCCGTCGGTCCGAGCAGGAAGTGCCTTTGTTCTGTTTCCTTTTCACTGCTCATAACGCAGTCAAGAAAAATGTAACTTATTTAAATAATGAATCAGCAGATCAACATAAAATGTGTCAATTGGTGAGACAGTTTTCAGACATCGTGATGGATGAATAATAATAATCGATTTAGTGCAGGAATGTTTGGCTGCCTGCCAAAGAGACATTTACATCTGTGTCTTTGTCTCTGTCTCTCTCAGGTGAAGTCGGCTGCCTCCTACGCGTTGGGCAGTATCGCGGTGGGGAATCTTCCCGAGTATCTTCCCTTCGTCCTGCAGGAGATCTCCTCCTCAAAGAGACAGTACCTGCTGCTGCACTCGCTCAAAGAGATCATCAGTAAGAGCAGCTCAAACACATGATGGATGTGTGTGTGTGTGTGCGTGTGTCTGTGTGTGTGTTGACCCGTTTGTGTCCGTGTGGAGGTTCGGCGTCCGTCTCCGGCCTGAAGCCGTACGTGGAGTCGGTTTGGACTCTGCTGCTCAAACACTGCGAGTGTCAGGAGGAAGGAACCAGGAACGTGGTCGCCGAGTGTCTCGGGAAATTGACGCTCATCGACCCCGAAACCCTGCTGCCCCGCCTCAAAGGATACCTGCTGTCAGGTAATCAATACCCATTCACATGAATATTCTGATCAATAAGCAACTTGATCAATACCCACAGTTCATAGGGAAGTGTTCATCTTTGTATTGGTACCAAGCTGATCATGACATAATCAATACATGTGTATAGTGACCCAGACCATCAATATGTCAGCTGATCAGACGCCACGCCAGGTAATCATCAGCTGATTAGGTTTTAAAAAAAAGAGAAAATCCAATGGGAACGTCAAGCCCCGCCCATCGGCTACAGGGAGCCTATCAAATGGCCTCATTCTCCTCCATCTCATTGGTTTAAAGACTGACGCCTGTTAATTAATTAGTTCTAGTTTAAAATCGGTCATCTCTGAAATATTGATGTATTGATCGTGTGCAGGTTCGTCGTACGCCAGGAGCTCCGTGGTAACGGCGGTGAAGTTCACCATCTCTGATCAGCCGCAGCCCATCGACCCGCTGCTGAAGAACTGCATCGGTAAAGTTTTTTTCCTTCATTCCTAATTACCTGACGTTCTGCTGGAAGAGGCAGTTTGATTCTTCAGTTACAGACAAAAAGATAAATAAAAATACCGTTATTAAACCGCAGATATTTGTTCTCCAGCTGTGAAAGGATACTTGAGTATAAGGATCAGTACCACAGGGTACAATTATTCTTGGAAAAGTCAAAGTTTTGCATTCAAATAAATAAAAAGCAGAATGAAAATGTTCTTAAAGCTACCAAGAAGGGCTGCAACTATCAATTATTTTGATCGATTAATCGGATAAAAAACCAGCGTTAAAAAGCTTTAATTTCCAACCCTTTGTTCTAAAACTGAACTGCAAATTCACATTGCAAAAATACCTCAGAACGTACAGGTTGCTCCTTGAACATAACAGTCATTTATGAAAAGTACAAATCAGAATATTTAACAGGATTTGTTTTAACGTCAGAACTTGTTGTCTATACTACACACACACACACACACACACGTTCACTTAAAGCTCGTTCATTAAATTGTTACCATCATTATATTGCAAGTTAAGTAAACATATCTAAGTACAGCTAAAAAACAACAAGTGCTATGAGATGAATTTAAACTGGCATTTGTAAATTAATACATTAGAGGCTTCTTAGTTCGCCGCGCTGGTTTAATGGATCACCGTGTTTCCCTTTACAGGCGTAACATCAGCTACCGTATAACCCACAGTATGTGTGCAAGCGCACTGGACTACCGTACATGACAGCATTAAACACACACAAATATATTTGTCAACAATAACCGATACGGGACAAAGCACGAAATACAAGACGACAGATTCTAAATGTTAATGGTCCAGAACTGACTCACAACAACTGCCGGCGCTGCTGGCTGCTCTTTCCTCCACGCCGGCTTCTGCCTTTATTTTATTTTATCTCGCCTCGTCCTTCTCCTCCACCTCAGGTGACTTCCTGAAGACGCTGGAGGACCCCGACCTCAACGTGCGCCGCGTTGCCTTGGTAACGTTCAACTCTGCCGCCCACAACAAGCCCAGCCTGATCCGGGAGCTGCTCGACTCGGTTCTGCCCCAACTCTACAACGAGACCAAAGTCCGGAAGGAGCTGATCCGAGAGGTGAGGACGCCACCGCGTGCGGGGGCTGGGCGGGCGTGGCGTGGATCGGACTAAGTGTGTGTGTGTGTGTGTGTGTGTGTGTGTGTGCGTGCGCAGGTGGAGATGGGCCCCTTCAAGCACACAGTGGACGACGGGCTGGACCTCAGGAAGGCGGCGTTCGAGTGCATGTACACGCTGCTGGACAGCTGCCTGGACCGGCTCGACATCTTCACCTTCCTCAACCACGTGGAGGACGGGCTGAAGGACCACTACGACATCAAGGTGGGCGGGGCCCGTCCCGGGACACGCCCTCAATGAATGTTCATTACAG